CTTTTGTTACCAATTTTTAAGCTTGTATATTCAACTCCAACTTTAATATTATTCTGTGTACCATCTTACTATCATATTATAACCAGGTCATTGCCATTTTTCTTTTTTTTTTTCTTTTACTACTTTAACTTGTGTATTTTGTCTTGTCAGTTTAAATTTAGTTATACTCTAGTTCTTGTTAACAACTTATATTAGACCTTAGTGAAATTACAAGTGAGAGTCTTGTTCCATTTTAAACTAGTATTTTTTATATTATTAGATTAAACCTAGTTGTACTTTAGCTCATTCTAGCTCAATACATAGACAACACCAAATTCATTATATTAGACCTTAGTGCAATTACAAGTGAGAGTTTGGTGCTATTTTTAATTTGTATTTTTAGTTTATACTTAGTTGTACTTCAGCACTTTCTAGCACAACACTTAGACAACATCAACTTCATTATGTTTATTAGTGACTATACTCTATATGACCAAAGTGCTTTAGCAATATACTTGTCCAAACTTCCCACTACTACAGATATCAGTACTAGAACTCAACACACAATTGAGGATATAAATAACCACAATTTAAACCTAGAAGATGAATGATCACGTCGACCCTGATATAAACCTCCATAATCTAACACACAATCAAAACCAACTGGAAGGTAACTGCCTTTATTACACAGCATCACAAGCCAGCACTATCGTAAACAGTGCTAAAAGTCTATCAGTTCTTAACTACAACATCAGGTCCTTAAGCAAACCCTATGATGACCTCCTGGCACTCCTTGAGTCGCTAAAGACACCTTTCTCCTGCATTATTCTTACTGAGACCTGGCTTAAGCAGGACACAACAGATATCTACCCTCTACCAGGATACACAGCAATCCACAACTGCAGACCATACCAAGTTGGGGGTGGTATTGCAGTCTATTACTCTAACCAACTATCTTGTATTAGCACCACTTGCTTTAGTGATGAATATGGGGAATACATTTTTGCTAATTTTACTGTAAAAAACCCTAAGATGCCTATAACAATCGGTGCCATTTACCGGATACCCCACACAAACATCCCAAATTTCAGTGAGAAATTAAAGGCACTCATAACTAACAGACAAATGAACAAGCACCACCTTCTCTTAGCTGGAGACTTCAATATCAACCTTGGCATACTAGATGATCAGCCTGTAACTGATTTCATCAACAATATGAACAACACACTTCGCATACCAACAATAACTAAACCAACCAGGCTCACAGAGACAAGTGCAACCATAATAGACCACATATGGACCAATATACTAGCCCCTCTTAAATCAGGGATAATCACAGACAGCACTACAGACCACTACCCTACCTTCCTCTTAACAAACATTAGTAAACCACCACTGGAATACAACAAAGTTTCATTTAGACTCCATGACGAGGCCTCAATAAGGAAGTTCACAGCTGACCTAGAGACTGTTGACTGGCCTACAGAATTCTCCAAGGCCAATGGTATTGATGATTGGACAGACATTTTTCTTAACAAATTACTTAGACTATACAACAAACATTGTCCTATAAAAACGAAACAGATCACGAATAAACAGCTTGGTTGCCCATGGCTAACCAGCAGCATTATGAAATCCATTGATAAGAAACACCAATATGAAAAGAAATATAGACAGGGCTTAATACACAAAGATATTCTTAAACACTATTCATCAGTTCTCACCAAAGTAATAAAGAAAGCCAAACAACTATACTACTCCAGTAGATTCACAGGCACAAGAGGAGATATAAAAGAGACCTGGAAAACACTTTCAGATTCTGGGTATCCACAAACTGAAAAAACCCAAGAATATTGTCCTAACTAAACCTAATGAAACACCACTACATCCCACTGAAACAGCTAACAAGATAAACGACTTCTTCTCAACCATAGGATCTAATCTTGCCAGTAAAATTCCATGTACCAATGCCCATGCCGGGGACTATCTAGAAGGGAATTTCCCAAATTCCTTCTATCTTGTTCCAACTGAACCCACTGAAGTCACTGAGATTATATATATAAAGTCACTTAAAAATAACTTGGGGGAACCTGTCTCATGTCCCACCATTATTGTACAAGCGAGCGGCCCATGTCCTTTCGCATGCTATTTCATTACTTTTTAACAAGTCACTAGAAACTAGCCCCTTCCTGAAACTACTCAAGATGGCAAGGGTTACACCAGTACATAAAAGTGGTGACCCTACAGTTGTTAACAACTATAGGCCAATATCAAACTTACCATTGCTATCCAAAATCTTTGAGAAACTTGTGCACAGGAGACTGTATTCATTTATAACGGCACAAAACATACTCAACCCCTGCCAATTTGGATTCAGGAAAAATAAAAGCACTAATGATGCAATTGTAAAAATGCTAGATCTGCTTTACACAGCATTGGAAAATAAGGAATATCCGCTAGGAATTTTTATTGACCTTAGAAAAGCTTTTTACACAGTAGACCACGGCATCCTACTCCACAAACTTGACCATTATGGTATAAGAGGCCATGCGCTTGCATATTTCAAATCCTACCTTACTAATAGGTATCAGTATGTCACCATTAAAGACACAGCATCATCAACACAGCCACTTGATACTGGAGTTCTGCAGGGAAGTGTCCTTGGTCCCCTGCTCTTCCTCATTTACATTAATGATCTCCCAAACGCATCCCAACACCTGAAACCCATTCTCTTTGCTGAGGACACGACTTATGTCATCTCTCACCCTAATCTTGCCACCCTCAACACCATTGTTAATAAGGAGCTACTCAAAATATCAACTTGGATGACAGCCAATAAACTTACACTTAACACTGACAAAACCTACTATATTATGTTTGGTAGCAGAGCAAGTGCTGTGCAACTAAACATTAAGATCGACAGCACTCTAATTGCCAGACATAATGAGGGCAAATTCCTAGGCCTATACCTCGACAACAACCAACACATATCAAAAAAAGTATCCAAAACAGATGGGATCCTCTCCAAGATATGATACTATGTGCCGCAAAATGCCCTTCTCACACCATACCATTCACTCATTTATCCATACCTCACCTATGCTATTTGTGCTTGGGGATCAACTGCAGCAATACACCTAAAGCCAATAATAACTCAACAAAAAGCTGCAATAAGAATAATCACTAATTCCCATCCCTGGCAACACCTCCCCCCCCACTCTTCATAGATCTAAACTTACTCCCTGTTCAGAACATCCACACTTACTACTGTGCAATCTACTTATACATGACCTTAAATTCCAATATTAACCTTGACCTAAAATGCTTTCTTAATAGTTGTGACAGGACCCACAGGCATAACACCAGACACAAACATCTCTACGACATTCCCCGTGTCCGACTAAACCTTTACAAGAACTCAGTGTATTTCAAAGGCCCTAAAATCTGGAACACTCTACCTGAAAACTCTAGAACAGCAGACACATTCATCACCTTCAAAACTACTGTTAGAAAACATCTTATCTCCCTGATACACCCCATCAACTAACTACATAAAAACCACATGGTGGTCCACAATTACACTCACTCACTCACCCATTTGACTATAAGCACAGAAATACGTATCCTAATCTTAAAATAGTGATCCCTAACTAGTCATAAGTTTGCCTGTGATACTCCAATATAGAAACTATGTATTGTGCCAAAACAAAAGCATTCACATTGCTAAACTCACAAACTAGTATTTGTCACTTAGTATTTAGTCACTTAGTACACCTACCATCCAACTTGTGACCGAGTTCGGTTTCAAGAAACCTGTCATAAGTCGAAATGTAAGTCAAACTTTACTACTGAATATCAACAAAACATTTTTGTAATGACTTTATTTTATTGTTTTATTTTGGTATTTCATGTTTTACTTTACTTTTTATGTTGTTAGTACTATATTTTATACTGTAAGGTTTAGGATAAACACTGTGTACTGGGTGTTCTAGTGGCCCCCTCTGTAATTAGTACTTTACTACATGTAAACCATACAATAACCAAAATCTGTAAACCCTGCATTGTAATCCTTTTAGAGAATAAACTATGATTTGATTTGGTTTGATTTATGTTTATTTATTCTACTGTGGGGTGTACTTATCATCTTTATATGTTATGTATCGTGTTTATTATATAATTTTGAAGACATACGAAGGCATAGACATAGTGAAGGCATACGAAAGGAATAATTTTCTAGTCACCCCCAGTAATATTACAGCGACACATTTTCTCTGATGTTGGACTACAAGTTGCCTGGCTACCACATCTCATATTTATGTTAATTTATTCTACTGTGGGGTGTATTTATCATGTTTATATGTTACATAGCATGTTTATTATATAATTTTGAAAAAAAATCATAGATGGATTAATGGAAATGTCTAAATTAACATTTAGTGCGCCCATGAGATTACGTATTACGTCAAGAGTAGAGAAACTCATAGTGATTTTAATGTGTACCTGCACACCAGCACAGTGTGTAAGTATATTTAGGTACAGGTAAACATAAGTATAATTATCAAAGTACATATAAATATGCAATAACTTTAAAACACTAGAAATTTTGGAAAATTTCCAGACATTATAGAGAGATGTGCTCACGGAGAATGTAAACAAACTGGGTGGGGCATGCCATATTTGAAAGACTGCTCAGCGTATAGCAAGTTTTGGTCATACTTTGAAATCGCTGTATTAGCGGAATGCCATAAGGTGAAACGCCATAAAGTGGGGCCCCTACTGTACCATCAAAGTAGCCAATACCAATACATGGGGCATCCCTACTGGTTTCATACTGTAGTCATACTTGATACTCATATCTGCAGTGCTAGCCTACTATAAGAAAAAAGCTAAGTTTCCTATTGTTACTGCAGGCATCTGCAGGCCATTTCTGACTACCTGCATGAACTAGTAGTCCTTTTATCTCATATGCAACTAATAAATGGATTAAAATATGATAAAACTATTCACAGTAAAATACAAACCTGTGGAGAATTAAATGCACTTCCTGCCTCTGATGCTGTGTCTGTGCTTGGAGTGGAAGGGGGACCAGGTGATGTCTCTATGGTTAAAGGCGTGGCATAATCTGGTGGTGCAGAGATCCTACCCACAGATGGCATACCAAGGAGCTGATAAAAATGTAAAACATGTCAAAGAAATAAAAAAGTTAAAAAAAAAAAAAAGACAAATAATTAAAGGCCTCTAAAATTCCCATTTATGGCTGTGAAAGAGCAAAGATATGAAGATTGAGACACTTACGCAACATATGGGAATCTTTATTGAAGAAACGTTTCACCACACAGTGGCTTCATCAGTCCAATACAAATCAGAAGGGTGTAAGGAGAGGAGGAGTTTGAGGTATTCAGTCCCTCAGCCCTCAGGGCTGTAGAAGTGGCTTATATACTATAGTCAGGTGAGGCAAAACAGCTTATATACTATAGTCAGGTGAGGCAAAACAGGAGGAGGCAGGGTCATAGTGGTACCATCCACTAGTTGAAGTAGGTCTTCGTCCAAAGGTTGGACAAGGTTGAAGAATTCTTTGTATCAAGATCCCATGATGTTGCAGTGCCTGACAGATGTGATAAATGGTTTAAAACCGACACGTTGAAAATTGAGACACTTATGCAACATATGGGAATCTTTATTGAAGAAATGTTTTGCCACACAGTGACTTCATCAGTCTCAGTCCAATACAAATCAGAAGGGTGTAATGAGAGAAGTTTGAGGTAATCAGTCCCTCAGCTTGGACTGATGAAGCCACTGTGTGGCAAAATGTTTCTTCAATAAAGATTCCCATATGTTGCATAAGTGCCTCAATCTTCAACTTGTCGGTTTTAAACCATTTATCACAGCAATGATATGACCTGGAGGAAAAAGAACTGCCTTGTTCCCACATGTATTCAAGCTGGGAAATAAGAATATTAATCTTCATCCCAAAAATGACAAAGATCTATGATGGCCAAGGATTATGAATCCAATCTCATAAGCTAAGGAACTACAACCTACCACAAAAGAACTACAGGCAAATGTGAAATCAATACTAGTAGTGTTTCAGGAATGCTAAATCATTTTAGATGATATGCCTAACCACTGTCATGAACCTTTTGCAGATGAGAAACAAGCACTAAAACTGTTCGTTGGATTCTTTAGAGGCATACCGCATCATAAATAAACCATGAAAGCACCTTCGGTGAGCTACACAGAGAATGTCAAATGAGTGTCAAGTCTGCATATAATGTTGGAAGAGCAAGCATCATTGACAAGATCCAGGGGTTGCACACTGGAAATTAGGCTTTAACATTTACTCAGGTGAAGTGGACAAGGAACACACTGGTAACAGAGTAAAAGACTTGTAACTACAGATAAGAGATAACTGGACTCCAGAAGCATAGGAAGCTGGTTCCATTTTAAGTCAATGAATTACTGCTTGAATTCCTTGTACAGTATCATCTAATATCTAACTTATTTGAGCCAAATAAATTAATCATTCTCTTTGTCTAAATCATAGTTTATCACATTTATTATCAAGGTCCATTTTTATCAAGTGGACCTGGATAATCTACATTTAAAAATTCTTCCTTCCTTTCTATTTACAGTAATTTCCATACTAATTGGAACAGTGATGAAATAAGACATTAATTTGGAAAATTAAAGTTTATTTGAAAAATATATGGTAATGACATGACAGATGATCAATTTAATAAGAGATACTGACTATCAAGATAATAAGAGATACTATCAAGATAATAAGAGATACTGACTATCAAGATAATAAGAGATACTGACTATCCTTTGCTTTTATAAGCATTATTACACAGTTTGGCATAGAATCAACCGATGTCGAACACACGTCCTACGAGGAGAGGTTAAAGATAATCGACCTGACGACACTGGAGGACAGGAGGGAGAGGGGATATGATAACGACATATAAAATACTGAGAGGAATCGACAAGGTGGACAGAGACAGGATGTTCCAGAGATGGGACATAGCAACAAGGGGTCATAATTGGAAACTGAAGATTCAGATGAGTCACAGGGATGTTAGGAAGTATTTCTGTAGTCATCGAGTTGTCAGGAAGTGGAATAGTCTGGAAAGTGATGTAGTGGACGCAACATCCATACAGAGCTTTAAGAGGTACGATAAAGCTCATGGAGCAGGGAGAGTGATCTAGTAGCAACCAGTGAAGAGGCAGGGCCAGGAGCTGTGACTCAACCCCTACAACCATAATTAAGTGGGCACAATGAGGTGAGTACATTTTGGCAAGGTCTTTATTACAGTACCAGGTCTTAATAACAGCAGAAATTAGCTTCTCCAAAGCTGAACAGTCCTGTTTCATGATCCTGCGTTTGGTTACTGTCCACACATTCTCAACTGGGTTGAGGTCAGGAAAAATTTCAGGCCAATTTAGAATGCTTGGCCCACTCTCTTCGAAGAATGTCAATATTTTTCAGGGAAAGTGTGGAATGCAGCAAGATCCTGCTGGAAAATGCCTTTTCCATCAGGAAAGTTTCTATCCACAATGGGAAGCAAATGAGTTCCCAGGACTGCCTTGTATTTGTCACTGTTCATCGTTCCCTCAACAAGCCATCCAGAGCCTTTAGCAGTAAAAAAAAACAAAAAATGTCTTCTTAGGCAGGTGTTCTGGCACTTGTTGAGTGTGTCCATTCCAAAGAGGTTTGCCTTTGCTCCATCTCACTACCACTGATCTGTATCCATGTATTTCAAAATGCACCACATCTGAAAATAAAACTTTTCTCCATTCATCTATTGTTCATCCCTTAGGATCGAGTGCCCACCGCAGCTGCTTTTCTTCAAAGCAGCAGTCAATAATTGTTTCTTTACCAGCTTTCTGGCAGTTCTGCCAACTTCAAAGAGTCTTCATCAAGCAGTTGAAGAATCAACATTTACACCAACTGAAGCCAAATCTTTTTGTAAATCTTTGATGGTTTTCCTGGGCTCCTTCACACTATGTATTTCTTAAGGTGGTGTTTTGTGCTTTCTCCTACATCTTCCTTGATGCAGTGCTCCACAATCACCATTTTTGTCAGCTCTCTTCAGAATTCGACCAACAGTTGACTTTGCTAGGCTCAAATTTTTACAATTTGTCTGATACTAAAATCAGCAAGTTTTCTAAGAGCTACAATACTTGCACATTTCCTAGATGTAACATCCATCATGATTTTCAGAAGTAATCAGTAACACCACAGCTGGATGGTTGCCAAAAGTCAGTAGCAAGCTCTTATGAAAAGAAAAGAACCAAAATGACATTAATTAAGCAAGAGACTAAGACATATGAGATGATCATAAAATTTACTCCTGTCCCAATTAATCTGTGCACTACTGTAATACATAACCCAGAACAAACATCATATTACCTTCCCTTAGCAGATGAATGATGGTATAATTCAACAAGAAGTGAAAAAAGACACTGTTTACAGGGGGAAACTTATTCTTTGTTGTTATGCCCAAAACTGGACTTACTGGGCACAATCTTGGACAACATATCAAAATGAAAGCATCCTTATGAACAGTGTCTTTCTCCTTTCCTCCCTAAGTAGAGTTAATTCTTTAAGATGCTGGCAGAAAAATAAACTTATCATTGAATAAATAAAATGTATTGACTAGGGAACATGTGTCATGTGTGAATGTTTAAAATAATTCACACAGCATCACAATTAGTTAGTTCCCCAGCTTAAAAAAAAAAAAAAAACATGAAAAAAGTTTTATTCTAACCTCAGTTGTGTGTTCTCTTTTGACTGGTGTGTGATGTATCCTAGACTCATGACCAGCATCCTGTGATTCACTCAAGGGAGTGTCAGCATAACCCTGTGCCTCCAACTTTTGAGATGCTGCAACCGCTAACAGTGATAGGTTGTTACCTTCTTCTGAAGTGGAAGAAGAATGAAAAAAGTCACCTGCTATAATATCACATTGAAAATCATATTTCCAAAATTATAAGCAGAAAATTATAGCAACAGCAGCACTTCACTGATAATTATTAAGCCAATTACTTTTTGTTTACTCAAAATAGCCTCTGTCTTCTCTCTCTCTCTCTCTTTCTCTCCTTTTTATATAATTTTTTCTAACAACACTGGTCATCTCCAGTCAAGGTAGAGTGACAAGAAAAAGAAACACTTTCACCATCATTCACTCTATCACAGTTTTCCCAGAGGTATGCAGATACTAGTTCAGATGCCCCTCCAAATTGTAAATATTCCCATCCCTCCTTCAGAGTGCAGTCACTGTATTTCCCACCTCCAGGACTAAAATCTAACTAGCTGGTTTCCTTGAATCCCTTCACAAAATGTTACCTTGCTTACACCCTAGCAGCTCAACAGGTCTCAAAACCCATTTTCCTCCACTCTTAACATGCCTGCTAGATGTCCAAGCCCCCTCACACACAAAGCTTCCTTTATTCCCTCCCTCCAACCTTTCCTAGGGTGACCCCTACTCTGCCTTCCCTCCACTATAGATTTATGTATCCTCCATGTCTTCCTATTTTGTTCCATCATCTCTAAATGTCCAAACCACCTCAACAACCCCTCCTCAGCCCTCAGGATAATACTTTTAGTTACTCTGTACCTCCTCCTAATTTCCAAACCATGAATTCTCTTCATAATATGGACACCACACACTGCCCTCAGACATGCCATCTCTACTGCCTCCATCCCTCTCTTCACTTCAACATTCACAACCCAAGTTTCTCATCCACTTAAGTATTGGTACCACTATACTCTCATACATTCCCTTTTCTTTGTCTCCATGGATAACGTTCTTTTTCTCGACAGATGCCTCAATGAACGACCCATTTTTTTCCCCTCATCAAATTACACAGTACTTTTGCCACACATGCAGAACCCAAATATAAGTATGGGCACCTAATTGAAGCTAGGCAATGTATCCCATACCCCAGAGCACCAAGCTCATGACAGCTTATTGGGTTATTTCATCAAAACCTTCCACATGCAGTGAACTTCAATAGAGATTCTGGAATGCTTAGCAATTCTCAAACAAGCAAAATTATTTACAAACATTCTCTCTCAGTCTTCACCAAGATTTGAACCTTTGCACTCTGCATCAGAGTGTACATGACTTTTGCCATACAGCTAGACCCCAGATTTAAGTATTATACAATGCTAGTCACGGCATTATGCTGGTTAAGTGCCCTGGCATAATGCCGTGATGAAAATCAAAGGTCTACCATACAAGGGGTCTTTTTTTGTCAGTGCATTATGCTGGGTAGCAGACATCAGCATGACGTCACGGCCTGCTGCTACACTCAACAGTGACTCCTCAGTGCTCACGTGGCTGCCGTGGTGAGGGGAAGTGTTGCACTTTTGTCTCTCATCTGCCCCATCTTTTGTCTGGTGTTCCCTTTGGTTTTAGGGCTATACATGTTTGATTATGGGTAAAAGGAAGTCTATAACACCTGAAACTATAGCTCAAATCATATGGCTTCACAAAGCTGGGCACCTGAAAAAAATAAATAGTTGAGAATGTTGGTGTGTGTGTGTGTTCAGTAAGGAACTGGGTGCAGCATTTCAAGGCTGGTGGCGATGTCGAGTTACCGTCTGCCAAACCTCGGCTTGGCCCCTTGAAGAAGACATCTGTTTGTACCTTAACTGTGTTAAAGAAGCAGTTAGAGAGTACACCTAAGATAACTGCTAGAGAATTGAAAGAAAAGAACCCACATCTTCTCTCAGAGGTGTCTGTAAGACCTGTTAACAGACGTGTGTCAGAACTGGGCTACAGTAGTCACCACTAGGTTAAGAAACTGATCCTCTCCAAGCCACAGAAGAAATGTAGGGTGGATTATGCATAGAAATATCTTCACTGGACTCCTCAACATTGGTCTGAAGTACTTTGGAGTGATGAAGCAACCTTCACTGTCACCTGTAACCGTGGGGGATATGTGTATCGGCCCAGATGTAGTGACCCGCTAGACCCACATTACACCTGTGGGACCACCAAACACCTAGACTCATTCATGGTTTGGGGGTGTTTCAGTGCTCAGAGTGTTGGTGAACTCACTGTGCTTCCCAAACACCAGTACAGTGGACCCTTGGGTAACGGCGGCATCGGCTAATGCCAAAATTGGATAGCAGCATGTTTCTGCGTCAAAATATTGGCTCGGCTAACGCCCAAAAGTTTGGTTAAGGACATCTGTTCCGAACACGTCTACCTGTCTGTCTGGCCTGAGCGCCTCAGCTGCCCTGCTCTCAGCTAGTGTGCCATTGTTTACAAGCCAGTCCGGACAATTCCACGCATACATTTTGTATTATTCCAGTGTTTTTAGTGCTTGTAACTGCTAAATTAGCCACCATGGGCTCAAAGAAAGCTTCTAGTGCGAACCCTGTGGTAGAAGGGGTGAGAAATACTATCAAATTAAAGAAGGAGATAATCACTTCAGTATCCTCAGTTGCATAAACTTTACAGGTAAGGCTTGGGAGGGAGTGTCTTGCAGGACTTGGAACTCTGCTTGGAGAAAATTGTGGCCAGAATATGTACAAGAGAGGGATTTTGAAGGGTTTGGGGCTAACCCTCAGGAGCCTATGCCAGTAGTGGAATCTACTGTGGCATTGGGGAAGTCAATGGGGCTGGAGGTTAGTGGCGAGGATGTGGAAGAGTTGGTGAAGGATGACAATGAAGAGCTAACCACTACAGAGCTGCAAGAGCTTCAGGTGCATCAGCAACAGATCACAGCTCAGGAATGTGCTACAGAGGAGGAGGGAGAAAGAGTGAGGAAGTTGCCTTTGTCAAAGATTAAGGACATTTGTGCAAAGTGGGTTGAAGTGCAAACCTTTATACATGAAAATTATCCTGACACAGCTGTTGCAAGCCGTATTGGCAACATGTACAATGACCCTCTTGTGTTCCATTTTAGGGAAATCTTAAAGAGACGCCAGAAACAGAGCTCTCTAGACAGACATTTTGTGCGACAGGGGTCCAGTGACTCTCAAGCTGGTCCTAGTGGCATTAAAAAACCAAGAAGGGAGGTAACCCCAGAAAAAGACTTGTTACCTGAAGTCTTTATGGAAGGGGATTTCACCAACATCCTCTCCCCTCCTCCCATCTCATCACTCATCAATAAGTCCACAATAAAGGCAAGTGTCATTTCAGTATTGTTTATTGTGCATGTCTCATTGTTTTCTGTGTAGGGAAATGTATATTTCATGTAAAAAAAATTATTTTGTTTAATACTTTTGGGTGTCTGGAATCGATTAATTGGATTTCCATAATTTCTTATGGGGAAAATTAATTCGGCTAACGTCCAAATCGGTTAAAGGCGAGCTCTCTGGAACGGATTAATGCTGTTACCCGAGGGTCCACTGTATATGAACCAGTATAATTACCTGGAGTTATTGTGTGACAATTTACCTGAGGCATTTGAAAAGTGTGGGGCTATGTTTTTATGCAGGATGGTGCACTGTGTCATACCGTCAAATCTGTAGTTCAGTGGCTTAAGGACTGTGAAGTGAGGTTCTTTAATGACTGGCCAGGAAATTCCCAAGACCTAAACCCTATTGAGAACCTCTGGTCAATAGTGAAATGAAGTTTACTGGGTAAGCGTATCAGTTCCATCCATGGGTGGAGGCTGTTCAACATGAAACAGCAAACAGGCTCAATGTTTTCTTCTCCACCATAGGAAAAAACTTAGCTAGCAAAATCCAAAGCTCAAACACCCCACCTAACGACTGCCTCACTGGCACCTACCCGAACGCACTATTCCTAGCTCCGACCAACCCAGCAGAAGTCTCACTTATTATCAACACATTAAAGAACAAGGCAGGAGATTTAAATAACTTACCACCCTTTATATACAAAAAAGCTTCTCAAGTGCTGTCACCAATTATTGCAACGCTCTTTAACAAATCCATCGAATCCTCTACATTCCCCTCAATTCTCAAGATAACGAGGGTCACCCTGATACATAAAGGAGGAGATCAAACAGACCTGAATAACTATAGGCCAATATCTTACCCCTTCTCTCTAAAATCTTTGAAAAATTAATTCACACGCAGAGCTATTCCTACCTCATCTCCCACGACATACTCAACCCCTGTCAGTTTGGGTTCAGGCTAATAAAAACACGAATGATGCTATTATATACATGCTAGAACTAATATACACAGCAATCGAGAAAAAAGAAGTCCCATTGGGAATCTTCACTCATCTACATAAAGCTTTTGATACAGCTGACCATGATTTGTTACACATAAAATTATCACATTATGGTATAAGAGGGCACTCCCTCAACTACCTAAAGTCATACCTTGGCAACAGAAGCCAATATGTGTACACAAATGGAGCTAACTCTTCCACACAACCAATTACAGTCGGTGTCCCACTGGGAAGTGTCCTAGGTCCACCTCTCTTTCTTATTTACATAAATGACCTACCAAATGCATCTCAACTACTCAAACCCATACTATTTGCAGATGACACTACATACATCTGCTCTCACCCAAGCCCAGTCATACTAGCCAATACTGTAAACACTGAACTACAGAAAATGTCTACCTGGATGATGATTAACACTTTGACTGTTTACGCCGTATAAATATGTCTTACGCGCCACTGTTTCTGACGTATTTATATGCATGAATTCTAGGGGCTTCAAATCAAGCAGGAGAAAGCTGGTAGGCCCACATGTGAGAGAATGGGTCTCCATGGTCAGTGTGCACCATATAAAAAAAATCGGGGAGCCAGTGGTGCATTGTGGGAATGCCATTTCAGTGGTTCTTTTTCAGCATGCTTAGCAGTAAGAAATATGTGACTCCCCAGCAAATCTGGGACTCTTCTCTTCCCAAGTGATGCTCTAAAACAGATTGAAGTGTCAGTGAAGATTAATTTCATGATTTTCAGGAGTTTGAGAACAAAAGCA